TGTTTGCTATACCCTTCCTGCCCCATCTCAATGACTTTCCCAGCCCACACTTCTTCCCAGTCCATCTTAAACAACACTGCATTTGTTTCAGGCCTCCTGGAATCTCTCCTCCAGTTCCCTTGTCTGACTACTTACATAGTTTTGCCGGTAAAGATAAAATGTCTAAGAATACTACTTACCCTTCTTTTGTGCCACAGACTCTGGCCCTAAACTAAGCCCAGATCATTTGCTTTATTCCATTTGTCCACTTCAAGCCTTCTACCTTGCCACTCTACAAAACCCTCATTCATTAGATACTATCCCTCTCCTCTAAATCCCTTTTCAAAACCATGTCTCCTCAACCATTTTTCCTTTTTCTCATTGTTAAGGCTTCACATATTGTCACATCTGAACTCCTGCACTGTCTCATCTTTAATGGGCTTGTTCTATTTAAGCTACCCTGTCCTGAAGAGCTTACAGTGAATGGCCTATAGTATTTGAGGCCTCAGTCCTGCAAACAGGTTTGTATGTGCTTCACTTCAAGTTTTGAACATACGTTTCCAGGAGTGAGGCTTAGGCTGGTAAAGTGCTGTGGAAATGAACAGCATTAATGAAGGTTTAATAAAATAATTAAGCACTGTATCCTAACAGAGCTTCACAGATTCACAAAATTACAGTTATTCAATACAACTACCCTATTTACATTGGACTTTAACAAAGATTACCAGAATGAGTCAGCAGGGAGAGTTTAAGTCATCTAATATTAAGTGCGGTTACAGAAATGCTTTTTTTGACACAAGATGTAAAATATGTAAGCTATTAACTTAGAACCTGCCTTCCCCACAACATGAATTCTTAAGCACAAGTGTTCAAATGTGTATTTTTATTACTAACGGTGTATTTTGTATCATTTAAAACACAGAGGAAAGACAATTTATTCTTAAAAATGGAAAACTGATGTAGCTGCTATAAAAACTTTATGATTTTCAGTGGAATTTCTCAGAACTGAAAATGTAAAAAACACATTGTGGATTTTTATACTAATTTGAGATTTCAGTCCTACAATCTGTTTTGCCTGGAGATTAGGAACTACATTGCTTAGGGGGAAAGGGCATAAGGGAGATATAATTACAAACAATAAAGAAGAAATGAATTGGAAGACTGCTGTTCAAGAAACATTTAGTTATTACTAATTTAAGGGTCAAACACATTTAAATCCCAAGCTTTTAATTTTTTTTTATTTCTGTCTTTTTTCAGAAAGTATGATTAAATCAGCGTTGTTTTAACTTAAAAAAAATAATTCCCCATATTTTAAAAGACCGTATATTTTCAAATCACAAGTTTTGCTTTGTTTAACTAAAAGAAAAGTATAAAGCCTGGTAATGAGTAACAGGACCTTCTGAAATTGCACCATAATGCAATGATGAGATTAAATCACTCATTTTGTGACGGATGGATTTGTTCTCTTCAGGCATGTTATTTATTTAAAGAGGTTTCCATAATGTCCTTGCGTGTACCTTGTTTTAGAGTTGTAGTAGTCAGTCAATCTCTGTTTCAATTAATAAGGGACTGAGGGGGATGGTTGTTTATGCTCCTGGGTAGAGTCATGAATACTACACACGCTTTTCCCTGTCATTACTAACACTGAACATCACTTGTTTCTGCCAAAATAAAGCCATGGGTGATCACTTGGGAGCCTAATCTTAAAATGCAAATGACTGTTAACCCCCACACAAACAATGTATGAAAACCTGCTGAGGACCTTAAAAAGTAACTTCATACCAAGGCTAGAAACGGAGGTTTTTAAGTAAGGGATTTAAGAAAATGACTGGAATTAAAGGGTGGGTGTATTACCTAGCACCATCTGGCAGTTTTCTATCAAAGGAAGTGCTGCGAGGAATGGCTGTCTGAGCCTGCTGGAGAAGCTGCTGGCATTGCAGTCTGTCAGATGTTCCTAGGATTGGAGAGGCACGAGAGAGAGGCTGCCCAGCAGGAGTCGGCACCCGATGCCAAGTGGTATTCCTCCTGAAGGGGGTTTTATACTCACATGGGGTGCCTTCGCTGTCAAGTTTATACTCTACCATGGGGATTCGGCACAGTTCTGAACAACCCCTGCAGGACAAATAAAAATGCTGATAAGCCTAAATCAGAGGGGAGGAAAATCTTTCTTCTGTTAAAAGTATGTGTATATTTTTTCCTTAACAGGCCCGTACAGCATCACATGGTTCTTGCATACTTTTGGGGTGGAGAGGAAGGAGAGAGGAAAAAAACACTGGTTTAAAAAAAAATAATTTGAACTAAACATATTGCTGCTATGCAGGAAACATATTAAAATGTCGTTCAGAATGATAAAGTTATAAGCTGCTGAAAGTTGATCTATGCCTTAAAAAGTTCACATATTACAAAATAGTAAAAAAACAATGAGGTTACATAGTTAAGCATTCAGAGGTCAGGAAATGCTACTTGTTTTTAAGCCATTTTCTCTCACTGCCTTCATGTATATAGATCCTAGTAGAAGTCAGGTTACATAGCCACACAAATTTTCAATGCATATAATATTATATACGATTAAAAACAGACCATTTACCCAATACCCTTAGATTGCAAGTAAGTAGTATCAGTTACTTGTCAGTGTATGCCAGAGCTTACTAAAACCACCTCTATGAAAAAGGCACACAGTCATTCTAATACAACATACTACAGATTAACTATAAACAAAGAAATAGTGAAAATGCAGTTACAAACACACAAGTACAGACTCACACACACACTTCAGAAAGCTGTAGTTAGTAACACCTGCTTGCTGCCTTATTTAATAAACTGATCCTAAGCAAGGTCTTCACTGAAAACATATGCCCATCACTTCTGACTCAAAATATATTTTTAGAGAAATGTAAAAACTTACATAATGTGTTCAGCAAACACTAAAGCACGTAAGTAACTTTACAGAAGGCAGACACCTTGTTACACTACATGGACTAGCCATTTGTGTTGGCTTGTGTCGTGAAATGATTATAGGATCAAAGATGAACGCATTTTCATTTAAAATGTTCCAGGAGATATACAAAAACTGAAAATGGTACAATAGGTTTACAAGACCGCTGAAAAACTGATTCTGAGTTCAGCAGTAGCTGCTATGCTCTCTATCATGTCTCTGATGAACATGTTCAGCCTAAGGTTGCAGGGGCTAAATACATCTTTCCCTGTAAATATTCCTATATTACAGTAGAATTGGAACATGGGAATGCTTCTTCAGCTGGTCTGCAGGCCAGGGCCAATGCATGGGTCCAGGTGCAGGGGCCTGATCTGCTGTGCAGGACCCAAGGCCACAGCTGTGTGCTGTCCCCCTCTGCTGTGCAGGGCCATGCCATACAACCCATGGGACTCTCTATGTGTCCAGAAGTTTAGCAGTGAGGGAGTGGTAGCAGCACTAATTTTTGCAGGTGTTGCAGAGCGGCAGCAATTAAAGCTACTACCACTCCCCCACCACCAAAATGTCCAGATCTGTGAGAAGCCCCACAGGCTGGATGACAGCTCTGCAGGGCATACTTTGAGCACCACTGGACTGGAACCACTGGAGCCAGGATTCCTGAGTTTCAACATTTCTCTGCTGTCAAAGGAACTCTAGAATCCACTCATATGTTTCAGTTCCAAACTGTGCCGATGAATCACAGCTCCACACGGTGAAGTTCTCTCTCTGCCAGATGCACACATCCTACATATGTCAGAACATTAAAAGTGCCCAATTAAGGAAGTGTCAGCATTGAGGTTGTCCATACAATCTTAGGTCTTGGACTTTTACATTTTTAGCAAGAAATATGCCCTTGTAACCCTGCAAAAAAGCAAGTATATAAGCATTTAAGCACTTTTTGTGGAAGAAATATTAGGTCTTTGAAACAGAAACTTTTCAGCAGCATGATGATTACTGGTGCCACATGTAACCCGTCTATTTCTGGGCAGTGACACAGAGCATGCCTCTGT